ACGCATTCCAGACACCTCAGGGTTTCACTGACCGAATTCTGCGTGGATTCATCTTCGTTTTATTTTACGTCGTTGACATTCATAAATCCGCAATGACGAAACCGAACAGTTGTTTCTTTTGTAGCAGTTTTCCAAGAGTCTTGAAGCCTACGTTATTGCCATCAACCATCGAAATTGTTTCGGCTTGAACAGAGTGGATTCTTCGAACATTGTGTGGACTCAGACTGTATCAAACCACTTTATTAAAAACCAGCACGTGGTATCACATGGCACCGATGTTGTCACCCTTCACAGACCTACTGCATGGGAGTTCCGGAAAAGCAATCGCTGCCAAATTGACTAAAGTTTAATTTTGGGTGATAGGGATGAACAGTTTGAAAATCACGAGCCTTCTATACTAAGCGTAAAAGGAAAGGGAACTTGTCCATTGAACAGCCATCTCCGCAAATGCGATTGGCTTTGTCCTAAGACAAGAACGTAATGGCCATGTAAAGCCATAACTAGTTTTTTCACACTAAATTCGTCGGCTCAGGTTGGTTAAAGCATCTTTTCGGGGAGACCATTGAGGACATACCTTCCCGTAACACGCCTTTGTCGTCTGGCAGAAAGACGTGGCTTCACAGCTTCTACCAAACACAAGCCCTTGGTTTGTGCATTTTGCGCACCACCTCACCGGTATTTCTTTCGCGAGGCCAGATAATTGGACAATGTGTTCTATACTATACTACTAATGTGCGTCATTGTAATGAACCAAATTTACGTTGCTGACACATTCTCAGGGCCACATATTTATCCTTTGTCGGTGCGCGACATCCATTTAGAACAGTTGGCCACAGCGCGATCGAATGACACTGAAGTACGACGACTTTGGCAAGATTTTAATTCAAAATTAATAGAACCTCCACTCCGGTCCCATTCACTGAAAGTCACGTGACGTGTGTTGACACAAAGCAGAAAGTTAATCTTTGCACTTCCCGTCTGCTTTTACAACCCACTTCAAACAACTGGTCGTTTCGTCTGTTTCAGTATCCTCAAATACGTGCAATTGTTGGCCAATATCTTTCCTCATTATCAATGTGGCAAGGCGTGTCGGCACAACGTAGCGTCCGCTAGACCATTTCCGCCCTACAAATTCGTGGTTCTGACATGTGCATATTGATTTAACGAGGCTTATTTCGCCATTTTGTAAATCTACCCACACACGCCCCCATGTGGGTCTATTTATCTGTCAACGGATGGCCGTCCACCTCCGAGAGGGTGCAACAGAAAGGGTTACCGTCTGGTTTATTGAATGTTGGGCGTCTTTGTACAATATCCCTTGATATGACTCCCCGATCACGATGTCCAATCTACATTTTGCCTAATTCATGACTTCAACCACTCCCAGGTACGAACACTTTCATACGACTGCGTACTACATAGCATCCAGACCACTGGTCAGGCGTCTTCACGGCCAGCCAAAGGAATCCATTGTTGTACGAGCCATACCCACTAATTGGGTAGACACATTACGCCTATTCGCTTGGCACCAACAGGGACTTAATGGCATCATTTTAGGTTAGTCAGTTGAAAGTTTCATGGAAGAATTCGACCTATTACAACACGTTCATCATCTTGCTAGCCCACACTCCAACCAGATCTGTTCGCATCTCCACATATCTTTGTCGATGTCGACAAAATAAAAAGTCCTTTGCGAAAGTGATGTGGAAACCAGTTCTAAGTTTTGCGACGCAAAGAACACTTAATCACAATTAAAAGAAACGAATCCCAGGATGTAGGGTATGCAATGCTCGGTTGAAAGCCAATTTAGCAGACAGTAACGGCACGTGTTCCCCCCTCAATCTCAAGCAAATTCAAGTTAACACTGTCGCTGCTACATGAGATCCCGTCCTGCAACATGTCGTATTACAGCCAACACTCGATTCCTCTACGCGATTTGCATATTCGACTCGATAATGATCAAGTGTTGACAGCGCAAACTAAGGCTACAGGAAATGAAAATGCAAAATGGATTGCTTCATAAATTTCCTGTGTAGTGAGACTGCTTATACGTCTTCCCACCCTACAAGTATTGAATAAGAAAGTTCCGATGTTCTACTCTACTAATGACACTAAGTCCTAATTGCTCACAAAATACCCTTTTACCACACCAAAAAACAGACAAGGACCACCACAGTCCTGAAGACAAAACAAAGTTTTGTGTTTTATCACTTACCCCCTCCTGGGTTTTGCAGATAACAGAAGATAGCACAGCTGTGTGGTGATTCCTAGCCAAAATGCTAAATCTTAGGAAAGAGTGTCCACACGTATGTCAGGGAATGCTAGGATTTTCATCATCACGTCGCATAGTTTTGTATTTAGCCATCGCGCATCACCTACATTCCCTAAACTTTGAACTACGTTTACCTACAAAATTAACATAGTGTATCTAATCATTTCAAGCGTGGTGTAATCCACCGCATGGTTCAAATTCTAGAAACACACGATTCCCGAATTTATGCGAGGTATCGAATATGAGCATGTTTGGATTTTGTGTACACTTAAAGCCATCCAACTACTTAATTCTATTTCTATCTTGTCCAGTGCACAGCACAAGCACTTGATATGATAAAAGTAACGTGTGTCTTTAACCACATCTGATTTAACCAGGATAAGTAAGTAAGTCCAAATCTTCCATGGTCTAAATAGCTGCACATTGCCCCCCATGAGTCCTTACCAAACTGTGGGCTTTATTTAATTGTAACAGAACTTAAGGCAGTGGCTTGTGTTAAAGCAAGGTCTGTATGCACGATAATTGCCAAACTCTTGCTATGGGTTACTGTCATCTTGGCCACTTGCAGTTGGGGATTCTCTCTGTTGTCCTACATGCCGCGAAAGCCCCTACTGCACTCATGTTTGGTTGTGTGCTTCCCTGATTACGCTGAAAAACGCCCTGCTGTGCCAGTGAATACTGCAGTTGTTAGGAGCAAAATAGTTATTGGCATTTCACGAGCGCATGTTAAACGCAGATATGTGGCGAAATCTGATTTGTTGAGCCTTTGCAATTCTAACCACACATCAGTGTGGACATGCAGCAAAACACCAGTTGTTTTTGAAGTCATGTATGATTATAAGGCAACGGAATACATTAACTCAGTCAAAACCTACGCGAATGTATGCGAGAGCAATATGGATTGTGCAAGAAGAAAAGGACGCTTCGAGTTATACTGCGTCCAACCATGATGTTCGGTTGTTTGTATGGCTAAGTTTTCGAGATAGTAAGAACATAAATATTTCCTTGCAGGTCCAGAGGCCTTAGTTAAGCCCTTGTTACAAGCCATTCACAATACTTCTACCAATGTGGCTGGTCTTGTTGGCGAGCTATGTGGCATCACGGCAGAAATCGACGTCGAGTCGCCGATCGTCAGGCGCTACCTGCTTCCCGAGGTCAGCAAATTGCTCATCGGATGCAACTTCCATCCAGCACCTGATCAGAAGCCGACAGAAGAACAAACAGCCGTAATCAGCTTTGTTAGATGTCTTTCAAATCTGGTTGGATCGGAAGTGGTCTTCGAAGCAGCAAGAAAGGAAGGTGTAGAGCAAACATTTTTGATTCACATAATCAATTCATAAAAATGCTGATGCACAGTGTGCTCAGGTGGAATTCTTCGCGTAAACTATTACGAAAAGGAATTCCCCAATCCTTTTTCAATGAAGTTTGCTGACGTTTATTAAGAAACGTGATTAGATGCAAATTAAAAAAATGAATTTAAATTCTATAACGCCTATTGTTCCAGACAGTACAGGCTTTATTGACCAATAAGAAGCCAGAGACCCGCATCAGGCGCCTTTCATCCCAATTCGCCGCGTTGTCCACTCCGCTCTTTATATACTGCACCTCAGCCTTGTCCTTCTCTGGTTGGCTGCTTATCTTTCTCACATGCCATTGGAACGCACACTGACACGGGATTAGCTGGAGCAAGGTGGTCCAATATGTCTGCGCCCTGATCCGTCGCCGCAAGCAACACCACATCAAACTACATTCTCATTTATTTCGTTAAATGAAATGAAATGCGCTTTCTTAGGGCGAATGTTATGGTCTGTTAGCGTTTTTGGAAGGGGTTTTCAAACTTCTTTTCCATGCTTATCCACAACGTTTAGTGAGTCTTTACAGCCTTTAGGTAAGCGCACTTTCATAATCTTTTAGAATTAGTTTTGCTTTCAAAGCAGCGTTCTCCTACCAGAAATTGGCCGGAGACACAACTTGGCCCAATCGATGCTATACATCCTAGGTATTCGCTGCCTGGTTTTGTGGGGCTTACCGAAATATGGTTGAAAACTGAAAACCATCCTTCTCCAACAACCCTAATTCTACCACCTCTTCCTTCACATCACCACGCCTCAATTATGATACAAACTAAACAATTTGTTGAAGTTAGTTAATTGCTTGTTTGAAATTCTTGTTTACGAGAATCCGTTGCTGTAGAATGTTTTTCGTGTCGGTTCATGAGATAATGGTGTTTCGTTGCGCTCCGTAAAATCTGGTAGTTGGTATCAGTTCAGTAGTGATCAATTTGACTAACGAATTTAGTAAATTGATTTCCTTCCTCAGAAGTCGTGATCCCATGACTTTTTTTATACTCCGAATTCGGCTCTACTGTGTTCTTGTTTAGTTAATACATGCTTGTGTAATGTTTTAGACGCAGTTCTACTAGTAAAAGACGCGCACACACTACTTTTTTTATTCTCATAGTATTTATTTTTAGGACCATTTTAGCTCCCACGGTTGATTATCCGAACTTAACACATGCGTCTACGCGTGACTTTATTGTGGTACCCTTGGTTTTTCAGCATCTTTTTAATTGTAATAAAGTGACCCAGAAGTGCACGTGTAAGTGGGAAGTCAGGAATTTCCTCATGATTTATTTTTGAATGTCCTTAATCTTTCACTGCTAACGTCCATCCAGATGCAGCGATGGTTCTCCCTTATTCCACCTAATTTCTTCTTTTAGGACCTTTATTCAGAACTCTACCCCTTGGTTCCCAAAATCGATACGAGTCTTCTCAAGTGTGTGGTGAATACTTGCCCGCGACTGCTCAAGTCGGACCTTAGCTCCCTTTTTCATGGCAAGGATTTTTCAGGATCATGGATGACGACCATCACGTTTTCCCATCATAATAAGCAAAACAAAATATCGGAGAAGCTTGAGTACCTCACTGAGACTGCAAGTTATATCTGTATTTTGTATAACCCTATTAGTTTATTCGATCGGCGATAGATATATGTGGATCATTGAAAAATCTTGGCTATTGGGCCGACTTCATTCATCCGTCGACCGGTAAACCTGTAAGCACACAGTTTTTATACCTGAAGCAGATAAAAATGAGTAAAATTTATAATGCTGCGTTTGTTTTAGTTCCTTGGTCCTCATTTCGATCAAAACCTCGCTGAAATGGACAATCAGTTGGCTAGTTTTGGTTTCGTCGTGGACGATTTAGGCTGCTGCAGGTTCCTGCGGAGCAAAATATCTGGCAAACAAATGTTTATCGGTATTATTTTTACTGACGCTCCCAGTGATCACCCAGTCTTATCCCACTTGTCTTCGCCAGAACATTAATTCGGATGGTTCGTATCTCCATCTAAATCCGTCTTTCCGAACTCAAAGAAAAAGTTGAATTGCTTTTTAATATGCACGAGTTATGGCCATATTAACGGCTGCACATAGGTGACTTACTGTGCTCTGGGTTAAATTTTTTCGACACATTAAAATTCCTCTAGGGTTTTGTTATTGAATTCGTGCTACACGAAGGTTGTATAACTGCAATGTGATAAACCTCAATTGTTTTATCACGGTATATCGTTTGTGCATAACATTTCTGTTGTGCCATCCTAAAATCACTTGGACGTAATTTGTTTTTTTTTAACAATGCTGTGGGAATAAATTATTTCCTGAATCCGAATCGCCTAATTTCATCAAGATGTAGTTTTGTGTATCTGGTTACCGAATATTAGGTCAAACATGGTCCCCACTTTTAGTTTGGCTAAATGAAATCTTAAGAACCTATATGCACAAATTAGTTTGTAATTCATTGTTAAAATGCAAGAGAAGTGAGTGAAAATCCCTTCGCTAAGCATGTACTTCCGTGTAGCTTCTGGATCCGTCCGACTAAATGGCCGTTCTGCATCACGACTGAACAAACGGTACCTTTTTTCCAAAAGGCCCCATACAAATACTAACGGTCGCAGCCTCGAATCAGTCATGTCGGTGGTTAGGCTAGTCAAGGTCTAAATCAATGTTTTTAAATCGGAAACAGACTCGTAAAGAAACGTTTTTGTCACTCACACGCTGCCTCGTTACACATTGGTGAACTGCCATGTGGGCGCTTCCAAGCGAACCAATGCCTGGAAAGCTGAAAATAACGGCAGATTTCCTGTTAATGTCTCACTAGGAAGACACTAACCAAGGTTATAGGCCTTCGGGCGTGTACTGACTCCGGCTGTAGTGCGCAGGCTTATTAAACTCAGCATAGTCGATTGAACGGTGTTGTGCTTTTGGGATTTTGCGCAACGGCGGTCTAAAGGTATTTCGGGAACAATTTCGGATGCAGATAAATGTGTGTCGCGTGCAGCGTACTTAGCTATTTCCTTAATAAGGGCGAATTTCCTCCGCGTCGACAACCTTTCATTCCAGGTGCACGTCCACACTGCTTAAAGGTGCTAATGTTAGCTAATAAAGATTTCTCAAAATTACAAAGTGTAGTTTATTGACATTAAACAATAGGATCTACCCTTGTAACTAATCAATTACACATGCGTCCATGCACGAGCATGGCGCCTATCGTCAACGGCCTTGATGATTGTTTGAAAAGGGGGAGTAATTTTACTGGAACCACTAAGTGTCAACACAGCAGACAAATAAAATATGTGGCTGCGTGGCAAATCTGCATGTATTATTAAATGTCTTGAATCCAACCAAGAAAGAACAATGGCGCTGTGACTGACGATACGACTGCGGCTAGCGTGTGCTCCTTTCATGCGTCAGTGGTGATGAAGCCAAATTTCAGTAAAGGGGAAGTGGGATGTCTTTGTGGATCAAATTTAACATAATTTATATTAGTCACCTGACAACATCTGCCCATGTATTTTTGCCGAAAGGATGGAGTCTTCGATTTTGTGTAGCATTTCGAACAGTAGGCGCTACAGAACTTAAAATCAGTCTTTTTAATTTGCCTCTGATCACATGTTTCAATAAAAGTCAGCACACTTCATTGGCTTGAAAGCTATGAGACATTCGTCGGATTTCCACATTACTAATTTCAGTCAAGAATTCGTTGCATTTTTCTCACAACAATACAATGCTTGATGCCGCCATGGATCCAACTGACAAATAGATGTCAAACTGGATTAATAAAGCATCCGAGGGATCGACAATTCGAAGGACGTGGTGGTAGAAAACACCATCGTGAGGTCGGAATTCTGCTAAAATTATTCACCAAATGCAGTCGGCTTATGAGTGGTCGTGTTGCAGAGAAACTGATGGGTATGGTTTAGGGGACTTTCTTTTAAGATAATAAACGGTTGACTCGTGAATCATATCTGTGTTATTTTGCGACCGGTCAATCATTGTGAATTTGGTTGATAGGCTGCTTCTCAAAGGGTTTTCTTAATCACCCCGAATGTATTGGCACCTTTATAGTTTTCTTGTCATGCACAGGGCTTCAAGTCCCCTGTGGGGTTAATTTATTACTAGCTTGGTCTCGTTCCCAGTCATGACTAGTAATTAGCATGCCTTTTATCCCGCTGGACTGAGTGGTAACATGCATTGGGGAGATAAATCTTACCCACAACAAGTGGATTTTTAAATAATCCACAACTAACACTAAATGTATTCCGTCTTTCACTATCTCTTGTCATCTCAACATTTAAACAATTGTTTTACGAATCACACATTTCCTGTGATCTTCAAATTTCATGATAGCCTACTATTCGTGTCTTTCGTTTTCGGAAAATTAGAAAATTTCCCCTTGTTGTGTGTGAATTACTGGGACATACATATTGAAAAATAGTTTTACATTATCCACATAGGAGACTAGCCCTCGTCAAAGGCCGTAGCATTATTTCCCAACGGGGGCTACTCTTAACCTCCGGAGTATCCAAAAATTTATGGGAGTAGAGAGATGCCCACGCACTTTTGCCGAAAGGATGGAGTCTTCGATTTTTGTGTAGCGTCTGGAACAATAGGCGTTATAGAATTTAAATTCATTTTTTTAATTTGCATCTAATCACGTTTCTTAATAAACGTCAGCA